TGTTGATTTATTTGCAACATAACAATAATATTTCAGTAAAAAGAATGCCTCCATGTTCATATTGTAAAAAAGGTATATACATCGAGAAAGACAAAACAATATTTTATGTTCATAAAGTATTCCATAAAAATAAAATATTCAATAATTAATAAATATCCCCTCCTAATTTGCAAATTGCATTATTAAAACACATTTACCTTCTGTTATGAAGACACAAGATTTTACAATCCAGATGTGAATTCATCTTTGATTCTATAACCCTTGTCAATAAGATACTGTGGCGGTTTGTATACAGTACTACCAACTATCATTGTCTGTTGCTAGGCGATACAATATACTCTTCAAGTCTAGTATTGCCTTTCTTCATGTACACCTTCAATGAGCCAGTAAGAATAGTATCCCCATCCATTTCTCATCACCCTAATCATCTAAAGCATTTGTGGGATTGTCTTGCTTTCTTTGGACTAACTTGTCTCCAAGGTGTCTTCAGAGGTGGTGGCTGTATCTCAACATACTATGCAGCAAATTTGGTCATTTAGTTATTTTCTAAAAAGTGCCATCATGATTGCTTCATGAATATGCTCAGCAGAAGATTTATATCAATGCCATGGGCTAGTCTAGGAGTCTAAAGTAAGTGCCTTTGTGGACATATTGGGAATATTTTACTTTTGATAACAATTTGAATGTTTCAAATTTCTTGTTTCAGACATTTTTTAGGGTTTTATTGTAATACTGAAGCGAGAATAATAAAATCAAGCATTCATTGCTTCTCCACCTTTCTTATTTGTTATTACTATACTACACAAAATAAGTTAAGGACCTCTTGATTCTACCATACCACTATAGTTCATCTGTCATGAAACAAACATGAAACAGGAAATTATCAATAATCAAATTCCATTTGGGAACATTTTCTGACATTTGTTGTAGACATTGGGCTGAATATCTGCCTCTGAGCAGGTCCTGATGAATTCCTGCATATTGTCTTAGATCTTTCTCAGTTTCCACCTGAACTGCTGAGAGGGAGGCAAGTTTTTACTTATCATAAAAACATGATGAAAATGAATCAGAGAGACATGCATTTATTTGAATTTGGTTCTGATATAATTAACTGACCAACATGAGACAAAGCAGAAGGTGAGATGATATTCCAATGATTCAGTTATTCTCTACAAAGACAAACTCGAAGCCATCCATTTCAAACATCTTTGTTTAAATCCTGCAATTCTTTCAAACTCACAACATGTTTATTCCCAACCATGAATATTAATATATTTAGACAAATCCTAATAATGAAGGTGAGACAGAAGGGATGTCATATAGCAATGGAATCCTAATGGTGCAACATAATTTCTGGAATCTGAGGTATCCATTCCTCAAGCCCAACAATGTCCAGGATAGCTCTTGTACATGAAATATTGATATAAGATTACTCTGGTCTCACACCTTGTAAACAAAAAAACGTCAGAACTTTTGGCATCAATACAAAATCATAACACTTGAGATCTTTGCCTTCAGATGCCATGTTTACACTGTCCACTGAGCATGGTGTGGTCCAAGTTCTGTTTACAATAAATGGTAAATTGTTGAAACTAGAATCAACACAAAGTATTGACCAAGTCCAGTACTGAGTCAAACCTAACACAATAAAGAGTTATGCCCTATAAGATTCATGTCTTTAGAATCATGAGTTCAAACACAAATTAATATTTTCCTCACCATTTCTTAAATGATTTCATTCAGGTATAATGTAAAAATATGATTGTCATTAACTTTGATACTGATTCATCTTTCCACTAGATACAAAGTTCAAACATGAATTCATATTTTACTCATTTGTTAAATGATTTCACTGTCCATTATTGAAATATGATTGTCGTCTTACTCAGATACCAATTTCATCTTTCAACTTGATCCAGAATAACCTAAGCTAATTATATATTCACAGTTGGGGCTACTATGGATATGTTACCAGCCCTGAATGAACAGCAAACAGTAGGCATGTAGTATTGACACTTTCCACCCAGATGCCGACTAGCAGTGGAGGAAACAGTCCTATGTTGAATCTGTCGGGTCCGGTCCTATCCTGACCACAGGTCAGGGCTACGCTGACCATTACTGTTGACAAGACATTGGAAAACCAGAAACACCTCACCATAAACATTGGTCTTCATGACTGCCCAGTTTGTTTAACATCTGGCAGATACTTGTGGTATAACCCATTTAACTATTCACTGTTTGGTTCTGATGGGTTTTTGAGACATAAAGAGAAAGATGGAGTGAGGAGTGAAATTGTTAGCACTGTTTGTTGTGAAAGGGCGTGACTGATGAAATTTTTGAGACATAAAGAGAAAGATGGAGAAGAGGAAGAGGGAGAATGAGAGAAAGAACAAGAGAGTCAAAATGAAAGATATAGAAGGAGAATGAGAGAAAGAGAGAATCTGTTATAGGGAGTTAGAATGAGAAATAAAGAGGGTGAACGACAGTGTTTGCCCTAGGCATTAAAATTAAGAGTCATCATGACTCCCTGGTGTCATGAGAGGAGTCATGGACATGTTTTGGGAGTCAACTTCAGTTTGAAACTTTCATCAAGACATCAACTGTGATTGTTTAATAGCAACAGAAAAAAAGATAAGACAGGTCAGGTATTTAATCAGCACTGAACCATTAACTGGCAAACATTACACTAAGTAGTTTAAAACAACAGCATATTACAATATGTGCTCAAACTGAACTAAGGGCCCAGTAGCACTGCGTCATGGCAAACACTGAATGAGAAATATAGAGGGAAAATGAGAAATAAAGAGAGAAAACAAGTGATATCGAGGGAGAATGAAATATAGAAAGAGAGAACGTGATATAGAGACGGCAACAGACTAAAGAGATGGAGAACAGGAGAGAGGGATTGAACAAGACACAGAAAGCAGAAAGAGGAAAAAAGAGCGACAGGGAAAAAGAATGATGAGAGATAGAGGCAGGTGAGTAGCTGAGAGAAAAAGAAAGACAGAAAGATGGAGAATCAAGAGAGAGAAAGGGAGGAAAGGACGGCAGATCGACAGACAAGGTGAGGAGTGAGTGAGTGAGTTTGATTTTACGCCGCTTTTAGCAATATTCCAGCAATATCACAGCCGGGGACACCAAAAATGGGCTTCACACATTTTACCCATGTTGAGAATCGAACCTGGGCCTTCGGCGTGACGAGCGAACGCTTTACCCACTAGGCTACCCCACTGTCCCCGACAAGGTGAGGAAGACACACGGGTCAGACCCCACTACTCAAGTAAAGCAAAGGAAACTCTGGACTTGCCGACATGATGTCCATTTTAAACCAATAGTGTATCTAAACTCCAAGAAACCAAGCCTTTGCTAGCATAAACAATTACACTGATAATTAACCTTTCAACCTATCTTCAGGAACTGGAAATGTGAAATCACTGCTATAAATTTAAGAATATTTTATCACCAAAAATCAAACAAATCTTCATTCATGTGAAAAAACAAAGACTGCGTAGTTCACAGACCCTGCCCACATCCATCAACAACATGTCATTGAAGAAAATATCAGACAGATCACGCTTTGATACAGAACATTTCAATTTTTGAATAGTTGTCGTTTCTTCAATGCCTTACGTGCAAAGTGTCAGAAATCAACACGCACACTTCTCAAATAAAGAAACAGGATGATGTGATGGACTTTGTGATCATCTTCAGATCAAATATTTGTGAGCTGTATTTTAAATCTCAAATTCCTGCCACACCCCGCAGAGATGAAATGGATATTAGTGACGGTATGCAGCAGCACTTTCAAAGTTGACGCAGAGATTTCAGGTTTATGCTTGAATGTTGACAATGGCGTTTGTCTCATCTTGCTGTGTTTTCCGGTTCATACACCTTGGCTTGGCATGCAAGTGGCTAAGCACATATATTAACAATCAGAGTGTTGTGTTTCATGAAAAAAATCCAAATCCTCCAGGTTTGAGGAAGTCATCATTCTTCAGACGTTCATTAATTTTTATAAAGATTCATAAAACTCATGCATTCAGACTTATTTCCACAGTCGATGTTAAAGACAAACTGAAAATGTTTTAGTGCCAAGATTGTTTGACATCACTCTCGGCAATATTCCAGCTTTATGACAGCCACTTGTAAACAATCAAGTCAGACAATCCAGTGATTATATTGTGTGTGATGTTGCATTAAGTCAACTCTTACAATGAGTAAAAAGATGTTAGGATCAATTCTAAATCGGATTCCGATCAGGGTTTCATGGTTTGGGTTGGTTTTATTTTTTTAATGCCGCACTCAGCTATGTGGCAGTGGGCTTCACGGTAAAGTAATCATGCATTAACCAGTTATGGACAATGTAGATGTTTCTAAAATGCCTTGATTACCCATAGGTTCAGAAACAACTTAGTTCATAGGAACTGTACATGCATTTCTGCAAAGAATACTTCATGTGAACCATGTATTGTTTATGTCATGTCGATATGCTGAAATTCATTTGAAAGTTGGGACATGGTTGGAGTGATGTCACACGAGAAACAACACATATCAAAGCAACAATGAGTGAGTGAGTGAGTTTTACACCGCACTCAGCAATATTCCAACTATATGGTGGCGGTCTGTAGATAATCGAGTCAGGACCAGACAATCCAGTGATCAACAGCATGAGCATCGATCTACATAATTGGGATATGATGACATATGTCAACCAAGTCAGCGAGTCTGACCACACAATCCCGTTAGTCGCCTCTTACGACAAGCATGGGTTACTGAAGATCAATTCTAACCATGATCTTCATGGGTCTCAAAGCTATAGACTGTATGAGTACACATGAATGAGTTTACATAACATACACGCTCTTACTTGGAAAATGCACCAATTCTTACACTCATTTGTAAAATCAGAATGACATACATGCTAATATAATAATCTGTATTTCCACAAAGGTTCAAAACACACACTACAATTTTTCAAAACAGATTAAACATCTACTTACATCTTTTTCCTTTGCTATTCGACTGCCCTTGTTGAATAATGAATTCCGATCTGAAATAAAAAACACAATTCATGACAAATCTTGGTAAGCAACAATAAGATGAGCCAGAAGATATACTCAACAAAAAAAGTTAAGGACCACCCGAATATTCTATATGAATCATTTGGATCATAATATGTACTATTAAATACTTTAATAATGAAACTTGGGATGGTCCTTAACTATTTTTGTTGAGTATATTTTAATAACTTTGTCCAGTTCCTTTTAAAGTTAACTTCATGAAATGTTTTTCTGATTGAAAGATATACATCTATCTTCCAAAAGACCATTTTATCACATAATAGGTGGTTACAGCACATTAAAAGAAACGTGATCTTAATCTATTTCCTGTTTAAGTTGAAAGCAGTTTAAAATGTGTTCTCTAATTCCTTACTGCACCAGCTAATTATGAGCTAAATAATGAGTGAATATGGTTTTAGGCTTCTTTTTTGCAATATTCCAGCAATAACACAGTTGGGGACAAAACAAATGGGCTTCAAACATCGTAGCCATGTAGGTTATCACACTGGGGTATTTAGCATAATGAGCAAAAATGCTGGAATTGAATACATTTTTTTTTTGTACTAAAGAAATTAAAGCTACAGGAGTTGAAATGATGGCAGATGACAGAAATGTGTGTTCAGTGACAATTCATACATTTAAATGGCATACCACTGCTTCGAAGCCATCAACATGGGAGGTCAGTAATGAAATAACGGCCATTAGCCTTGAAGCTTAGTCTGTCTGAAGACAAGCAGGTAGATGTCTTCACAATGGCAGGTAATGGTGACTGCATTCATCATGCAATCAGGAGGGGTTTGGTCGGGGTCACTAAATTCAATTACATGAACACTACCATAGGTCAGCTCCCTTGAAAATCTAATTTGAGTGGCACAAGTTTGATACATTATAAATAAGTCAGGGCTTGGAATCTGGGGGTGAGACATCTTGGAACTATTGTTTCAACAGTGTTGTACTATGGAACAGGGATGCTAGCTTAGCTGGAAGTAAACAAGAGTGAGTGAGTGAGTGAGTGCATTTAGTTTTATGCTGCTTTTAGCAATATTCCAACAATATTCCAGCAATATCACAGTGGGGGACACCAGAAATGGGGTTGACACCTTGTACCCATGTGTGGAATCGAACATGTGTCTACGGCATGACGAGCGAACACTTTAACCACTATGCCACCCCACTGCCCAGAATAAACAATAAGTTCAGATTGAGTGTATCAATAAATATTTCATATGGAACAGGATTCAAGGTTCTGAGGGCCCATGACAAGCCAAAAAGGTTACACTAGTGCATCCGGCCAAGACGGAATGACACCTGGTCACATGACCAGATGGATGAAGGTGCAGCGTGACAGGGTTTTTCTTACCTACACATTCCACATTTTTACATGTATATTATTTACATACACAGGTACAATACTTCCGTCTTGTCTGTCAAATAACAGAGTAAAAAAACAATGAAATATGTCCGAGACACAGAGGAACGACAATGACAGCCATTAACAATGAGTACAATTATGACTTCACTGCACGTAATCGTGAAGGAAAATAAAAGTACACGGACACATCGTGGGAACCTACTAGTGTACTTCAGGAAAATGTAGAGTTAGTGAGTTGATCTTAACCCAATATTTCACATTATTTCACTTAATGTTTTAATGTTTGCATAAGGTTTTGTTTGTTTATTGTTTGTTTATTGTTTGTTTATTGTTTGCATGAGGTCAGAAGACAGACCCCGAGCTACAGAAGGGGACAGTTAGTAACTGAAATCGATGACATGGTTTATTGATTTGCTTGTTTATCCTTCAATGCCTCACTCATCAATATTCCAATTACATTACAGCAGTCAGTAAATAATAGTGGCTGGACCAGACAATCCAGTGATGGACATAACCATCCTATATCTACTCAACTAGGATATGTTGTTATGCCAAGTCAGCAAGCCTGACCACCAGACTCCATTAATCAACTCTAACAACAAGCATGCTTTCCTGAAGACTAATTCCCATATGCATCTTCACCTGTTGGTTGAGACGTAGGATTGTGGCAAGAACAATGAAGTAGGGCAAAAGTAGATGAAATCTCATGAATAAGAAATTTCTAATTAATTCATTTTCATAAATACTTCAGGGATTATTGATTCCTGATTTATCTCTGAAACATATATTTCTGTCTTTATTACTGCCTCCAAGCAATAACATACTTTACATTCATATTTCCAAACAGAGGAATACGTTAAACTTTATCACTATTATCTACATTTTAGTTGTTCAGGTTGTTTCAGTATGACCTTTGGCCCACTACTACACAGGGCATAGTTACATCACTAGAGCATGCAGGTAGCACAGTGACAGATGCATGCTGGGTTAATCAGCCACGGCTATAGTATCTGAGGAATTGTGAAGCTCACTTCCTGTCAGAATATACATAGTGATAGTGACAAACAGCTTTACCATCTGTCACTCATGCTCGTGACTCGATTGTTTTATTTTATGTTCATGGACGTTTTACATAAAAATGTATTCCACAAAACTGATTCTGTTCATTTTTTCTTAGTCTGTCTCACAGTCCCTGAACCACATTATTTTCCCTACTGCCAAGCTCTCTCTGCAGTGCTAAAGCCCTAAATAAAGCAAGTCTAGATTTCCTCAGGTTCAGGCTGGTCTCCCTAGGGCTCCTTTTCAATATAAATGGGCTTGTTTGTTACTATCAAAATTATATATATTCAGAGACTAAGCCTTAGTCTAAGTTTTTCTTTGCATTGCATTACCTTCAAACAAGAAATTCTTACCCAAAAGATGTTTTTAGTGATTTTTTCAGAGTCTGCAAAACCTGAATTCTGAATCTTCCAGTGTGTGTGATTGTTGTCTAAATTTGCACTCTGTGATATTCTAGCTGTATGACAGCAGATTGTAAATAATACAGTCTGGACGTTAACAATCCAATGATTGATGACGATATTGTGAATAACGTCCCATGTCATCAGGGTACGGTGACATGCCAACAACATCACCGAGTCTATACACATGATTTATTTGGTCACCTCTCATGATTGGTATAGATTGCCAGGAGGGACGGGGCTGTTGTACTGTGGATTAGTTGTGCCCAAATAGCCTCTCATCAACTGTCACCATAGAGATGGTATCATGAACTAACATCCTATTCCAGTGTGAAAGTTCATTAACGCATAATATGTCTACCCACTAATCACAAGTGCAGTGCCAAGAGTACAATTAGACACATAAATCTGACGTTGTTCGGCCATGACACATCCAGGGAATGTACAGATTAGGTTCCATGTCAGCCATGTTGTTTTAGATCCGATGTCAGCGACAGGAAAAGTATTACTATTACTTTAGTCCCTGGATTCTTTTCAAAATGCAAGAGCAATGAAATTAAAATCAAAACTCTCGTATTTAAATCAATGAAACATATATAGAAACATCAAGTATTGCTTCTAACAACATAAAAAAATACATATTTTGTCTGCACACAGACAGAAACCGATCCATATGAAATATATTTGTAGTCATACATATATATAATATTTGTATGTCAGAATTTTGTTTGACACAGCTGTGTGGGTTGCTTTCATCTCTGTATGTCTTGCCAGTCAACAGCCTCAGGATATATAACCAAATATAACTAGTTGGGTAATATAACTGTATATCTCATGGCACGACTCCCATTGGAGTTATATTGGAGATCACTTCATCTGGAGTTACAGCTAATTGCTGTCTGATCAATGAATGAATAAGTTGGTGTCATGGGGCAAACTTGTGCATCAAGTAGCCATTATCAGGGATGGTTAATATCAAAAACAGGCTTCAGAATTTGCCTTGTTTGCTCATTGTTTGGAATGCACACTCAGCAATATTTAAGGTGTAATGAATCTAATCTGAACAGACCAACCAGTGATTGATATCATGAGCAACAATCCATGATGCTTAGGTACACTGACAAGGATCGACAAACCACCAAGCCTAACCACGTGACTTATTTGCCACATCTTACGAAAAGCAAACCAGGTGGAGATCTATTATAATACTGAACAGAATGTTCATGGCGATGCGGAAATTCACCCAGTGAGTGAAAGGTTGTTTTATTCTTCAGCTGGCTAAAAACTTTAAAGATCTGGCCCCGATTTCTCGAAACAAACTTAAGTCTGAGTTTTGACTTAAGTCTGAGGTTTTACTCAAATTTGAGAAAACGCAGGAAAATGCATTTCCCAGAATAAACTGAAATCAATATTAAACTCAAACTTAGTAGACAATTTGAGTTTGGTGGATAGATTACTGAAGTTGTTTGGGCTTTTTTTATTTAAAAAATGCAGTTGAGTTAAAAATTCAGCTGTTTCAAATTGTCAAACTCAGTTTGAAATTTGAGTAAAAACTTAAGTTTGTTTCGAGAAATCGGGGCCAGATCCATTGGTGGACAATATGAGCATCAATACACACCCTCAACGCACATCTCAAAACAAGCCTGATGTATTGGGGACCTATTCTGCCCCACAATCCAAACCCAATGAAACCATATGCAAATTATTCGTTAGAATAATCATGGGGTCAGTGAGGTCTTTTTGTCATATCTGAATCCAAACATCCCGGAATCATTAATTTATACCCAAATTTATGTTTTAATGGAACACTGATCAACTCTCAGCCTTAATCCATACAAACATAACTAACTTTGAAAATCATACAATATCAACACTTCAATCAGAAATCGAACTGTACAGCACTCATAATACCCAGAACATGAAATATATCATAGTATGTATACATAAGCAGTATTAAGCACAGAGCAATCCAAGTACAATTCCCTGAGCAGGTTACGAGCTTACAATAATCTGGTTAGATAACATCCCTTTTAGAGAAATCAGTGAGCCACAACCTACAAGATCTTCATAGATAAGGGAGGGCAAGCAGTAAAACCCTAGCATGGAGACCTTGAGGTTCCATCAGACGACCTTGGTTTACAGAATATCCCGACATCTA